CCAGATCTTTCACAATCCCATCGCAATACTTGACCACCGTTACTTATTATTTCACGATCATTTTCTCGATATACCGAATGACAGCCGTGCTCCTGTGGCACAAGAGACAAACTACGAACAGGGACTGAAAAAGAGGATAATAAAATACAGATTGGGTGTAGACACTCGCGTTTTTTTGTTTGTTTCAAATTAACGTTGTTTTCCAATCCGTATAGAATGACTGCATAAAAGACGCAAGGTGTATTTTTCAATTTTAATTCTGGTACTACAGGATTCAATAACCGATTTTGCCTTTATCGTTCGTCTTTAGTAGCCATAACATAAAAATGGCACTTTCTTCTCATAAAACCGACTCCGAGTCTTTATAATTTAGCAAGACAGATGGAATAATATACTAATTACCAAGAGTACAAACAAATTTGCCTAAGCACTAATTGTTTGGCAACTTTATCCTATCCAGTTCTGACATAATCTGCAATTGTTTGTTTTATAAAGAATCTGAAACAAATTACACACAAACATATGTAGCTGATAAATAGTTTTATCATCCATTATTTTGGCATTATGTTTCAGCGGTCTCGTTAGCGGAAGGATTTGTTTATTATGATTGTTAATCGCCTACAACATATGATTGACCATACACATCCGCGGGAATGTAACAAGACCACCATGGTCAAACTAATTATCCCAGCGGTCAACACAAATTAACAGATAAGTTTTTATATCCACATCAAATCTATCTATTCAATATTTTTAAAATGTATATAAATGGTGTTTGTATGTGTAACCTTTATTTACAAATACAGATATAAAAGAAAAACTGGTCACCGCAGAGAGAAGTGAAGACATACTTTATTGCGGTAAAAGATGTTTAGGGATTAAAAGGAGATTAAGACTTTTTCCCACACTTACTAACGAAGTTGACAAAAATATTTGAAAATGTTTGGATGACTAATGCTTATAAAAAATCGGAAACAAAGCTGTCCGAAAGTTGAGGTAGAATTAAATGGATGGTTTACAAGAAAAAGATGTGAAGCTTTGAGTTAGTCAGTACCAAAGCGGGTGTTAGTCTCTTGGTCTGAGTTAATGGAAACACTATATTAATTAAATAATTCATTTGGTGGAGCTCTGAATTTATCTTTCATGGGTCGTGTACAATTTGATACTCTGTACTCATCATCAAATAAACCAGTATTGCAAACTGTACAGGTTGAAAATAACCCAAAACAAAGGTGAAGTCGACAGAAAAAAAAGCCATTATAACTTTATGTTAGGTTATTTTACCTGAAAAAAAACTCTGATAACTTAACCAAAGATAAAACAAGTATCAACAAAAATACCGAACTCCAAGATAAATTAAAAAAAGGGGAAGTCCATAAAACCTTACAATACCAAATTCTCCGACTAGAAAACACCTGTCATTTTCCTGACTTGGTACAGGCATTTTTCGAGAAAAAAAATAGTGGTTTTATAGCTAGCCAAACCTCCCACTTGTATGACAGTTGTTTATAGTTCCGGCATATTGACAAAATTGTGTGAGCAATCCAAACATACATAATTGGTTTACGTGACAATAACTAGGATCCAGCAGCCAAAATTATGTTTAAAATATAAATCAGATATACAACACAACTGACTTAAAACCATCCAAACAAACATACAAAACAGTTTTGTAGTTGAAAGTACAATATAGTACTAGTACATAATGATACACGTTAAGTATACAAATTAAAGTAAAATAAAAATACAAGGTTATACAAATGTTAGCAACACTTTGAAAATGATGAATTAAAATTGCATATCTTGACCCACCCGAATCAGGAACGTCCAAAGCCAAAAATCCGAAAGCTGGATGTACATCAAGATTCGTACGACCAAAAGGAACACTATAGTACAAAGACAGATGAAACGACAAAATAAATAAACTGATTCACAACGTAAACGCATCTGAAATAAGCCCTGTCTATAACTTAATCAAACGTAAAGTCATCTTTTATCTGAGCAATGCTCATTTAAGTACTTTATCAATGTTATATGTAGGTCTTTGGCAGAAGTGTAAAGATGACATCAAAACAGAAAGTTATTGTGTATCTAATTAATTACCCAAGCATATATTCATTTCAGTATTAAGGGTACATTATGTTACTGGCTTTTTGTTCAATGTCGAAGACTCTTCATGTGACTATGATAATGCTTTGTTTGACATTCCGAAATAAAATTCACCATGTATTATTTTCGTTTATATATAATTATGACGGATACATTTTGTGAAAGTTTGCAATTCAATATTGTTATAGAATTTAACTCTTTCACTAAAATCGCGACTAAGCACTGGTGTTTGACAATTTCCCAGTGGGCTAATAATACGAGATCTCATTGACATTTGTACCCCTGTCGTCCTAATCAACCGTTAGACCAACACCTAACAAGCAAGTCGATTAAGGGTCCAATCGATGGTAATTTGAAGTCCTTATTTGTTTTTTCCCGTGGCATTGTATACAGTTAAACCGTTGATTTATTATTATTTTTAACCGTATGACAATCAGACGAGCCACGGAAGCATTGAGCCATGCCACACTGACATGATATTTTCTCAAGTTAATGAACTTAGCATTATCTAATAGCTTGTTTTCATTCCCAGCGTGCTTGAGGACTAGACTAAGTTTAATCAAGAAAGAAAAATATAACGATGACAAAAAGAGTCTAATTGACTTAATTTACAAAACTTCACGTTCGTGTATCAGCGGGTTTTCAACTTCTCAAGGGCTTTCTGTTTCAATATGCTTTCATATTTGTATTGGTAATGTTGTTCAACAATTAATTACCACAGAACAAAAGAAAACAAACCCAAGCAGACAGATTCTACTAACCCATTGGTTTTATGATAGAATGGCATATTTATAAAAAAAAAAATACAAACTTAGGTTTTCAAATCAGAAAATTATTTCTTTTTTCAAATAGCAATAAGTCTTTAAAATTGGCTATTTAAAAAAAAAAACTGCACAAGTAAAAAAAAATATGAATGAATAGACATGTTACTTACTCAAAAGAAGATAAATTTAAACTTTTATTTTTACCGTAAAAAAAATGAAAATAAAATTTCATGTTAATAGGCATTTTTTTTTTTTTTTTCTGAAACCGGGACAGAGTTTAGAATACATAAAAGCGAAATTTGGAGTTGTACCCTTGATATGCAAAAAAATGTGTTGCACGAGGGTCTGGATAGGGAAAAAAGGGGGGTAACTGTTAAGTAATTTTTCTTTTTTTATTTATTCTTATCATATTCTATTCTTTATAATTCAGCACCCTCTATTCTTTATATTTCTCAATTCTGTAAACCCCATCCATATCCTCTTGCACTTTCATCATTGTTCATCAATTCACTAGGATCGGTATCCATATTCACGTCGATATTAATTTTAGTAAGTTAGCTGTAAACACCAAAAGCATATACCTACTTTCAAATAAGAAAATATTTGGGAACTTATAAAGTTCTGATTACATGTACAATTTTTAAATGGATTATTTGCAATCATGTTCATAAAGTCATTCATTAAAAATAAGCGTTGCGTCTTTTCTTCCTTAATAATTTTGAGATGTTATTTGTTTAGAAAAAGATGTTATCAAAACTATTTTGACGATCATACTTCTAAAAGAAACGGATACAGAAAATAAGCGTCCAACAAATTTCATTCACTTCTAGATTTGTATGTGTGATTTTTTTATTTGAAGTTACTATCCTTCGACTTTTAACATATAAACATTCTATCAACACCAAACCATATATCTAAATATTAACAGAACCGACGGAAACAAGTTTCACATAACAAGTTGTTAAGTATAACAAGTAAAGATTTCAAAAGGTTCTGCTTATTAACATTCACAAGTATGAAAGACAAGTCAAAGGCTGTGTTTACAAATAATAAAGATAATGTGAAAATAAGAGCCGTATTGCAAAATTTTATTTGCATCTGAAAGTTTCCATCATTTGTATTTATTCTCGGTGGATTTCCTCCATCTTTTAAAGGTTATCTAGGTAATATAAAAAATATATTGTTTTTATTTTGATTTTACACATATTATATTTTAGGTAAAATGAGTAGACAATCGTAGTTTGGAATTATAAAACAGAGAACAAGGCCACTTTTATCAATGAATTATTTTTTTTAATAAAATGGATGAGAAAAAATAATTTGAATCACAAATAAAAATAAATCTCTGGTAAATAAAGCAAGTTAAGAACAAGGGACATTAAAAAAATTATTAAAAATTGAAGATTGTTTAAAAGTAAACAGAGACATCTAAAATTATTTGTAAATACAGAAGGAATGAAATATTGCGTTTGGAATTTTTCTTATGTTTTTCTAGTAAAGTTCTACGTCAACATATTTACGTTTGTAACAAAATTAGATTAACCGAAAAAAAACCAGTCAATATATTTGTAATTTTATATGATTTTATATAGGATAGGAAAATGACACCTGTGAACATTCCCTGTACTTTAACGTGTTTCAGCTGGAGTTATCAAAATGGGTGGTCAATTTTCGATATCACAGATGATCAATAACACCCCTCCCCGCCTTTCCATTTATATATTTTCTTATTTTCTGTTTCTTTCTTTGTTTTAAATTATCTTCAAAACTAAAATGAAAATCTTATTTGCTGCATGCATCATTAAAATCGGACTTCTTTTATTTTTGTAGTGACAAGATTTTTAAAAGAGTAAAAAAATGTAATTTTCCCAGTATGAGTATCGTATATCAATCTTTTACACGTGTCTCGTATGTTATAAATTTACACCTTTTTGGCGTAAATACATAATACAATAAAAATATGATATAAAAGAAAATGAGCTTAGATTGAACAAGTACTGTTGAATTAGGGCGGAGCTCCACAGCTTGTTTTCTTTAAGTTATTGGTTTACTCGAATTTAAGGCGGAGTCATATCATCTGGTGATGATCGTTGAAGATTCGCTGAGATTAGGTTATACCCAGAAGTAATACAAATTGTCATTAATAAAGACTTGTTAAAAGTTGACAAAACGTTCATATGATCAGATTAGTTTCAATAATACACTTCCAATCACATATTTGAAAATAATTCAAGTCGGTATGGTACAGTTCGGAACAAGTCCTGATTTTCCAGTACAGAAGTCAAGACCGTCATTCAGCATCAGTAGGGTGCTTGGAGAAGACATTGACGATACACCAAGAGATTATTCGTTACATTTCAAAAGTGAAAATTCAGCCCAGAATTCAAGTAATGAAACAAATGATGACAATGGGAACATAGATGTTGAAACATTTGAATCTGATGTCGAGGAAAGTAGTTTTTCAGAGAGTATGTTCCGAGGAAAATCTCCCACCGAATCAGATGCAGATTCTTGTTCTGAAGGGATAGAATCAAATGAAGCTAAAACTGAAGATAAAAAACGCGAAGATGAAAAACAGAATGGAGTGAAGAAGCCAGAAAAACCACCATTTAGTTACAATGCACTTATTATGATGGCTATCAGAAGTAGTCCTGAAAAAAGACTGACATTGAATGGAATTTACGAATTTATCATGAAAAGTTTCCCATACTACAAAGACAATAAACAGGGCTGGCAAAATTCTATCCGTCACAATCTGAGTTTGAATAAATGTTTCGTCAAAGTACCAAGACATTATGATGATCCAGGAAAAGGAAACTACTGGATGTTAGATCCATCTTGCGATGATGTTTTCATAGGTGGAACAACTGGAAAACTTCGGCGCAGATCCACAACAGCCTCTCGAAGTAGACTTGCCGCATTGAAACGAGCAGGTTTTCCGGGATTTCCTTTCAAACCAAATTCTCCGTACATGTGGTCTATGTCACCTTTTTACAACCTTGGAGCCGGTGCGGCCTCTTTGAGGTATCCTGGACTTTCAGGGCTGTCTCTGTATCCATACACAAACTTATTATCGTCCGCAGCAGCCATGCCAAATCCAGCACATACTAGAACCACGAACTTTTCCGTAGATCGTTTACTTGGACTAGACATTGGTGCTACTAACGCGTCAAATATGCAATCTGTTAAAAATGGATCTCAGAGTTTCCAGTGGTATCCATCTCCAACAGGACTAAGACTACCCGTAAGTGATCCCGAAACTAGTCCCCGAGGACTCGATTTAAGTTTTCTTAAAGGACTCCATGGTCTTCCAGTCTCGCCTGGGTCTGCGTTCACGTCTCCCGTCTCTCTGCAACAGGCCACTGCCCTGAACAGAAACATTTTATCACAAGCATCGTTACACCATAGACAATCAGTGAATGATGGCAGAACAAGTTAATCTGACAAATATAACTTATTTCGGTGCAATATAGAAACATTATGGAAGATAATTGACTTCAAGGTAAACTGTCAAAAAATCTGTTCTAAAAGTGCTGTTTTTAGTGCATGCATTTGAAAAAATAACTGTTTTAATCTGTTATAGTATGTTACCTGAAAAGGATTATCTTTTTAATATATATTATTAAATTCAATATAGATGTCATTATTAGTTTATTACATTTTATACAAGTGTATTTTGCACTCGTAATTTGATAACTACAAGAAAATCTAAACATTCTATTCTTTTTTCTTAATTTCCATTCTTTAAAAATGTAAAATTCAGTATTGGATACACTGATAATTAACAGAACTTCAATATTAAAATATTAGAGTCATTTTGTTAACTATGTTCAACGGTTTAGTTTTGAAGATAGAAAGATGACTCGGAATAAAACCAGAATGATAAGAATATAGGATTTAATCCCAGAAAATTAACTGGACAAAATAGGCACAAAAATAAAGTCAAGATATGAAAAAAAATTGCTCATATTTAAATTTCAGAAATTAGACAGTACACAGATTTGTTCTCAAAAATCTGTTGCATACATTCGCATCTTCAATATATCAATTTAATTATGTTAAATTCTGCTTTAATTTTTAGTACTATAATCAAAGCAAAGTTCTATGCAAGAAGATTATTTTTTTATTATTCAACTTTAAAATATGTGTTCATTTTCTTTGATTTTCACTTCTTTTTATAAATAATATCTACGTGAAATATGTATTACAAGGGATGATAGACATCCACTGGGCAGATTAGGACCACCAACATTTTACTTTACAAGGTAATTTGAAAGGATGAAACGCCACGATTATTGACTCCCGGTGAATTTTTTACACTTTATTGTGATGAATTTCAATGGTAATTTATACTATCAAATTCTATGTAACAGTTAATATTATTATTTGAATTTGCAACATAAACAGACGTCCTTGTTTGCAACAGTTGGTATTTTGAGGAGATTTTATTCGACTGCATGAGATATATGACAACAAACACGATTTCTTTATGTAAAATACAAGACCAGAAATTCAATAAACATGGGATTACACGCCAAACAATAAATTTGTTCGCATAAAAACGCCTCATACAACAAATATAAAATGTGTGTTCTGTGGTTAATACATATTTTCGTTATTATTGCATTTTACCCTTCAGAAAATTAGCAATATCAACCTTGTTTATTTTCCACTTTTATGCAATGATAATATTAAGTTTTAAAGCTTGTTTAATTATTTTTTATATCAAAACACGACGTGAGAAAGTTTTACCACAAAATAACCAATTTTATATAAACTCATTATAAAGATTTCAATGGCTATTAGAGATCAAATGAAGATTTTCTTCAGTTAATAGACACGTGCTGCAAATAGGAAATCTGTAGATCATCCTTGCAATTTTGATAAAAAATATATTGAAAAATTTGCTAATTCATTTGTTTAAACATGTACATTAAGATGTCAATCAAATATTCACCATAAAATAATTTTAGACATAAAAACTATCACTTCTGAAAATACAGAAAAAGGAACATGCGGTGAAGCTTTCGGCAAATTTACGGAAATCAATATGTGCACGCGGCTGTTTTTCCGGAATGAGGTGAAGCAAAGAAAAGTGATAAATTCAGTTTGTCACCCCTGTCACATCAATTCTTTTGTTTCGCTAAAAATTAAGCTCTGCCAGGCACTATTTTCCATAAAGATATATAAATACATACATTCAAATTTAAAAGTATAACAATACACTTTATTGGGGTATCAATTGAAATAATATAGGAATAATTTTGAAATAACAGATAAATTGAAAATGTTCCTATAATTATCATGAATTGATAAAATTATCAAGGAATGCATGCTAAAACGAATTATTAGACTGAAATTCTCCTGTATTGTGATGCAGTATAATATTTATAAACATTAATTTATAAATTTTTATTTTTGTAAATTGTTTTCATTTTAATTTCTTAAAGTTTAGTTTAAAATATAAAACTAAAAATAAGGAAACAAATATATTGAATGAATAAATTAACAATCTAATTAAATCTTATGGAAAAGTAATTACACTAAAACAATGTATAACAAACATTTAAGAGGTTTGAACTTTCTACAGATTAATACTATTTGTCGATGTCTATTTAACAAGCTAGTGTATGTTATGTATTAATGTCTTATTTAGTAAGTCTCGGTATTGGATTCCAGTATATATCTGATTCTTCAGAAAAGAAAGTACTTTGAGTGGAGTATTGTGTGTTACAATTTGTACTGTCTAGACCTTATCAATATAAGTATATATACGGTGTCCACATCATTAAAGTTAAAAAAAAAACCTGTTTTTGGTATAGGGTTCCTTTAACTGAAGCATCAGTGTTTCTGTTCTTTTTAAAATCTTGTTTGTCTTTCGTCATGAACATGGCTTTGTCTGTTCCTCTCTGACATGTGACTCTTCCTCTCTGACATGTGACTCTTCATTTATTTCAATAACACTAATACTACTTCTGATGATTTTTTTTAGTTCAAGTAGTTCAAGCCCAAATTTAAGGGCTACAACAGCCAGTCTGATTGATTGCTGATTATTAACACACACAAAAAATTACAAACAAAAATGTGAAACAAAATGTATGAATGAATATTTTCATTACTGTAATTCTAACCAATATAAAAATCAAAAAGATGTTATTGGGAAGCACTGAGTATTTGTGTAGCACATTGGGTAACACTGAGTATTGGATAACACTAAGCATTGGGTAGCACTGAATACTGTGTAGCACTAAGTATTGGGTAGCACTGAATACTGTGTAACACTAAGTATTGGGTACAGTGTGTATTGGGTAAATGATCTTTACAGTTACTACACAAGATTGGTATCGATACATTAAGCTTGGTTGCATAACTTCCACTATATATCTGTATTTTGGTTTCTGTTTAAGCATGATTATAAGTAAATAAATAGTTGTATTATTGGCAACCACCTATTGCTACCCAGTACTTAGTGCTACCCAATGCTTCGTGCTACCCAATACTTATTGGTACCCAATACTTTGTATTAACCAATACGTCTTAATGCTACCCAATACTTAGTGCTACCTAATACTTAGTACTACCCAATACTCAGTGCTACCTAATACTTAGTACTACCCAATATTCAGTGCTACCAACACTTAGTACTACCCAATACTCAGTGCTACCCAATACTTAGTACTACCCAATACTTAGTGCTACACTGTACCTAATACTTAAAACTACCCAATACTCAGTGCTACCCGATACTTAGTACTACACAAAAACCCTATGCTACTTTGTAATTAGTCATACCCAATACGCAGTGCTACCCAACATTCAGTGCTACCCAACCTATATACAATATATTTCAAACGAGTTGAAGTTTATAGCCTATATTACATACATTCTTGTTTATTCTCAGTTAACAAATTTTGTAAGAAACACAAACATTAATGTTGCAATTTCGCCACTAAAACTTGATATAAGAATACTTTGACTATTCTTTTTTTTTGCTTACCTTGAACAACACGACGGGCGTCACTAGTTGAGCAGGAAAATGCTTACCCTTCCCGAGCACCCGCATTCATCCCGTTTTCTGGAGAGTTTCGTGTTACTCAGTCTTTGGCATTCTGTGTAGTATTTTGTAGACTATTCATCTGTTTTCTTTTGTTTGTGTTGTAGCGTGTATTGTAGCAACTGGTTTGTATTGCCCCCTTGATCTCGTTTCCTCTTTTAGAAGATTACCGAAGCGCCAAATTAAGGACATATCAGAAAATCCAATACTACACCGAGACAAATGATAGACGGTTTAAAGACATGCAGACATCAAACAAACAACAAATTTGAACGTCCATGCAATTCGGGAGTGATATCATGCGCATGGGGTAAGCATATCTGTCTGCGGCATTCTTCATACTTCCTGGCCGTCAAGGTCATTTGTCATCCGTCATATTGCATTGGTAGTCAAGGTCAACAAAGAGTAAATTCAGCATATTCGTCATATTTTCTGATAGATAAGGTTAACAATGAGTTAATGCAACATATCCGTATGCAGCATCTGTCATATTGCTTGAAAGTCAAGGTGAACAAAAAGTCGATTCATCATATCTGCTTACGATATCCGTCATATTTCCTACTAGTCAAGGTCAACAATGAGTTCATTCAGCATATCAACATACGGCATTCGTCATATTTCCTGGTTGACAATGTCATTTATGAGTTGATTCAGCATATCCGCATACAGCATCTGTAATATTGCTTGAAAGTCAAGGTCAACAAAGAGTCGATTTTGCATGTTTACATTCGGCATACGTCATATTTCCTTGAAGTCAAGGTCATCAAAGAGTTGAGGCAGCATATTCACATACGGCTTTCGTCTGATTTACTGAAATTCAAGGTCAACAATGAGTTGATTGAGCATATCCACATACTGCATTCTTCTTATTGCCTGGTAGTCAAGGTCAGCAATGTGCCGAATCTGATAAGTGATCACACATCTTTAACCTTTTGTGAGACACTCGTGCAGTGAAAGGTATGTAACAATTAGAAACGAGATAACGACCATAACTAACCCGTAGAGATGGTATACCTTTTTAATGTAAATGAATTTCTTATCATGATAATATACTTTGTGCAAGTTATAAGTTTTACCGACTTTCTGAACACACACAAACTAAATTTTGAACAGCTATGCACATTATTACATCAAGTGAAACAAGTTTGACCTGAATAATTAACCAACTTGGTGTTTTGCTCACTTTATATATTTCAACATAATATTCAGCTCTGTCCTCTTTCCCATAATGCTGCAATTTTTATGCTTGTACCACATTCTAAGACCACAAAATATACCCTAAAAGCTTGGTATCAGTGTCACGCGGTATATGGCTGTAGCATGTAGTAATACAAGTATGACAGTGATAAGCTACATTGTAAATAACAGAAAGTGTTCCGTTTTTTCATATTATGTTAAGAAATTCGCAAAATACTTATAACTTGTACACACTTATAATTTGCAAGAAGACGACATACATAGACACAATTGTCCCTTATAGAAAATCTCAAAAAAGAAAAGGAAACTATATTTAATGAAAAAAATCTGCAAGATCAATACATTGTACAAAAGATTAGAAATTACGATTAAACTATCCATTTTTAAAAATC